TATTTAGAAAAATGTAAGAAGGTTAGGCAAAAAATGCATTTCCGGTTTCGGCCTCACAATTTTCTTTTTGGGTTCGATTTTGGTTTCAAAATTTGGATTTTGATTTCAAAATTTCATTTCAGTACTTCTATCAGAAAGTCAAACAAACGTTCCAAATAAATTTTCGTTTGTTGGATATTCTAACCCGTGTATACCTTACTTTAGAAAACTGGAATTAGGTTAGTGGCACGCAGGACTCCTTGTGGAGTTTGTCAATAAATGATCGCTATAGTGTAACAGCTCTCTGCTGCCGATGGGGTTTCAGTGGAGTCCCTGAGAGAATCATCTTGTATGTACTGAAAGGATGAGAGCACCAAGCCATAGGGATTGGTCCAGATATGAATTTGTATTTGTCTCACTAAACGTAGTGCCAAGAATGGACAGCCAACACGTTTCAGGGGTCACACAAATCACCATTCATCAAAGATTGGATTCATTGTGTTATAGCAATCTGCATGGTTGGTTAATTCTTTATAAGCTGCAGTTTAAAGCTCACTCAGCAAAGTTGTCTGGTAGCCCAGTGACCAGGCAACAGAAGTTGTAGATTAAGATGGAAATATATATTTTTTAGTAGTATTAAAAGAGAAGTAAAGCCAAACCTTTTTTTAGCTTTACTTCTCTTTAGAGCCCGTTCACACCATCTCACTGCAGCGATGTGCGATACAGTGCCATTTATTCAGTACGTCGTGCTGTTATTATGCAGAATAGTGCACTCCATTACAAAAATAGCACATGCATATTTTTGGTGCATTAGGCAGAGTATTAAAATGAATGGGCTGGCTTCATGCAATGCATGTTAAAGGAGAATTATGAGGCGAGTGATTTTCGCTCAGCCTCATACTCTGAGCCGACCTGTGACAATGAAACTGTCACTGGTCGGCTCAGTAGATCGGGAAGTGAGCGAACACATACCGTCGCTCGCTCACTTCTCAATCTATACGCTAGTTTGTGTTCTCCCGTGATCCTTAGGAGAACTATGGGGAAAAGCCCTGACCCCATAGTTCTCCTTTAATGCACTGTGTAAACATATTCTGACTCCGATTGTTGTATTAATGGTTTATCCCTTGCTGAGACCTCTATGCCTGGCCTGTATAGGCAGATATAATCACTGCGGACAATCCTCATCAGATAGCTGAACTCCCCAAATACCTTTTCATCCACGAAGAGCTTTATTGCTTGCCGCAGGGTTACAACAGGATACAGCAGATGAATGAATAGATGGTATTTGAAGGTCGGAGATAGTAATGTTTCCAAGCATGCAATGCAGATTAACATGTGGTCATGTTACTGTTAGCCATGACACTTGTGGCTAGTACCAACAAGAAAGGGGAAATACATCACAGATGGGAGGGAACACAGAAAAACATTGTGCAATAATCCGAATGACCACAAGATGTCAGTATATGATTTAGCCGTATAATATGAATGAGCAAATGGCCTAAAGGAGAACTATCAGGTGAGTGTTTTTCACTCACCTGATAGTTCTAGCCGACCTGTGACAATGAGACTGTCACAGGGTCGGCTCAGTAGATCTGGAGGTGAGCGAACACATGCCGGTGTTCGCTCACTTCTCAATCCTGTCACGGCTCTCTGCCGTGACAGGGAAGGGGATGGATTCCCCCCTCCCGCTCCGCCAGCGCTGACTGGCGGAACGGACGGGGGAGGGGGCTGGTACAGCTGGCTCTGCCTCTAGATAGGCAGAGCCAGCTGTCACTCACGCATCTGGGCGGATCGCGACATCGATGTCGGGATCGGCTGCGGCGTTTCAGTATACTGAGCTTAGGGTGACGGGAGGACGCTAGTTTGTGTCCTCCCGTTACCCTAAGGAGAACTATGGGGAAAACCCCATACCCCATAGTTCTCCTTTAAGGAAAGTTAACTATATACATTCTCATAAAATATAGAGGAAAAGGAAGGGTTTTTGGAGGGGTGTAAATGACCATCCAAGAGAGATATGTTAAAATAAAAGTTCAAAATTTATTATATTAAATATTGATACATTCATGATTGAAGACAAACACATTAGAATAAAACAGATCCCTGCAGAGGATATGTTTATAAATACATGGCTTATATGTTACTGAAATTCATATGGTCCAACATATCAGGCAATTATTCATTATTATCCAAGTGTGGTTACATTCATGTATAACAACATATTGTCCTAGGCGTAGCTTATCTTAAATTCTCATGTCACATTTGTATGTATATTAACTATGACTATGAATTGTCATATGTTATACAACTATTGTGGCAACACATAACTTGTGTTGATGCTTGTGTACTGAGGCAGTGTGAACAGGCCCTTAAAAGAAGCTTTTGCTATCTTCCATAACTGTGAAACGGTAACCCTTGTTGTGGCGCTACCCCCAGACTGCAACGGTTATCTGCTCGTTTTGTCTAGGGAGCAAAAATGAAGAAGATCTACTCACCTGATCCTTGGTCCCGCCTGGCTGCTAGAACACTCCTCCCTAGAGAATAATGAGCAGTTAACCCCTGCAGTGTGGCTGTTAACGTTTAAAAATCCTCTTTAAAGCTCATTAAGGCCCCTTTCATATGGGTGCTTTTTTGTTTTGATCGGCAGGGGATCCATGCATGCATCCCTTGCTGATCGGAACAGATGCCACCATTGTGTTTTCCGCGTCCACCTGTTTTTTCCTCCATCTTGTGATGGTGGAAAAAACGAAAATGTTGGTCTGATCCGTCGAAGCCGAATGTAAACAGATGCACGTCCGTTTAGATATGGCTGTCCATAGACTAACATCGGGCGGGTCAGGTCCACCTGACCAAACTGAATGCTGTCAAGGTTGTCAAGAATATCTAACAGGGTTATTCACAAAGGGGTGAAGAGTTTGGAGAAGGCCAGAGAAGGGAACAATCTAGGACAGGGGTCTGCAACCTGCGGCTCCGGAGCTGCATGTGTCTCTTTCATCCCGCTGCTGCGGCTCCTTGTCCAGGGGCAGAACTACCAACGGGGCCTGAGGCTGTGGGGGGGCCCAGTGAGGTCCGCTCCTGGCCCCCCCGTGGTGGAATATGCGGCAGTGCAGGGTCCCTGGGGCCCCGCACTGCCAAAGGGCTTCTCAGCAAGGGGCGAGTCCTATGACTCACTCAAGTGTGTGTCACATGCCCCGCCCCCTGCAGTGCACACCATCTGGCTGTGATTTTGGCTGTGAGGCTTGGCAGGCTTAAACTGACATTAAACCCTCAGATTTTTTTAACATAAAACAATACTGTAATGTGTGCCTTACTGTAATCCAAGGTAGTTTCCCTTCTCTTTGCTGCTCTTCCTTTAAAATCTGTATCTCTTCTCATGCTGGGCAGAACTTCTGTTTTGCAGCAGACTGCCTTGTCTCTGGAATGGATACATGGTGTCTGTGTGTAGGTTCACAACCTGAGCCAGCACTACAGGAAGAGGCACTCAGCTGCAAAGGGAAGTTCTCCCCCAGCATGAGAAGAGATACGGATTTAAAAGGAAGAGCAGCAAAGAGAAGGGAAACAACCATGGATTACAGTAAGGCACACATTACAGTATTGTTTTATGTTAACAAATCTGAGGGTTTAATGTCACTTTAATCTTGCCCGGTTTTATGGGGTGGAATGTGTGACCACCAATAGGTCAAGCATTCCAACGTTTTCTCAGCTGTTCCAGGGCAGATCGGCATCGCAAATCGTATGTGCAGGAGAACTGATCTGCCCTGTTCGGTCCTGAAATGTCACTTCTATCCGATTTTGTGAGTGGGGTGGAATGTGAGATCGCACTCAGTCGGATAGAAGTGACATTTCAGGACTGAACAGCTGTTTCGGGGCAGATTAGTTCTCCTGCACATATGATTTGCGATGCCGATCTGCCCTGGAACAGCTGAGAAAGCGTTGGAATGCTTGACCTATTGGCGGTCACACATTCCACTGCCGAAAAAGTGGGCGGGATTACATTGAAATGTGTGACTACGTCACCGGTCACACATTGTAATGTAGTCCCAAACTTTGATAGAACACCGCCATCAGGGGGGAGGGGGTACGGCCGGTACCCATGTGAGGGGTCTGGGCAGCCTGGGGGGCCTCTTACATGAGTATCAGCTGTACCAGGGGTGGAATGGCAGAGGTGACGGGGGTGGGGGAGGCCGGGCCACAGCAGCAGCAGGTAAGAGGAGTTGGAAGGAGGTACAGGGAAACAAGAGACCCCGGTGACCAGCCCACCTGAGGCCCTGCGGAGCCTATCATGGAGAGTCTCAGATGGGCTGTGCAGGATCTATGGTGCGCTCTGCAGGGTCGCTCTCAGGTCCAGAGTCCAGTGCGTTACTAAGCCCAGGGTCCAGTGCGTTACTAAGCCCAGGGTCCAGTGCGTTACTAAGCCCAGGGTCCAGTGCGTTACTAAGCCCAGACTCCTTGCCTTAGATACTGATAAATTGCTTCTTTTCACTATATTATACAAATGAGGTCCAGAGCAACCTTTGCTCCACCTGTGTGGAAACATACTCCTCGGTGTATGCTACACGTGGCCAGGATCAGGAACTAGTATAGACAAAATTGGCAGTCCACTGGAGCATGTGATAATGGGCCGGAGGCATTGGAAGCTCGGGTGTATAGAGATTGTCACTGTGTCTTCCACCTGCTGAAGGCTTCTTATAGCTGATATTTCATATCTGAGGGGACTGACACTTTCATGTGGTTGTGGGTAAACGTTTTACGTTGAAGACTCCCAAGCACCCAAAAACGTGACCGAATCATTCTTGGCTTGGTTGTTTATTGTGCTAACATTTATATTCCGCAGGCATTGTACAGAAATGAATTCCCTCATTTTCAGTTGTTTGCTGAATATGTTTACATATACATTTATATTGACATCTTACACTAACCATGTGAATCAGCCTTGTGTGATTATTGATGTTTTGCCCTTTTACTTGTATGTGTACTTTGTTTAAATCTGATTCATTTTAATATTCTTTGTTTCCTGTATGCAGTTAAAGCAGAGGACACCAGAGGAGGTCCCAGATTTAAAAGACCTTGTCCAAGAGAAGTACTCTGCCCTGCAGAGCAAAAACACTGACGAAGAACTGAGGCGGAATGATAAATTCATCCAGTTCAAAGAACAGCTCAAAGATCTGAGGAAGCAAAGTAAGGAACTTTTCATTGTGTTGCTTATTTTATATCGCCTGTCGTTGCAGCCATTTAAATGCATTGTAATAAAGGTGTTTGCCACTGTATTCTAACTGTAAACCTTCAGATTTGACATCCGGTGGATCTTCTAACACTATGCCCGTTCTTTGGTGCTTCTCGCTTTTATTTACATTGCGTTAGACGCCATTCACACGGAGCGATTTGTAGGGAAATTTCCGCTCAAAAATCGGTCAATGTCGCTCGTCCAATGTATTTCAATGGAGCTGTTCACATCTCACAGCTCAATGTTGCTTGTCGCTCGAACATGACCTATTTTTCCACTGGATTTTGTGCGATTTGGCCCCAATAGGCTTTGATAGACTGCCAAATGAAGCGCTACGTAGTGCGACTAAATGTGCATTTGTCGCACGGTTTTCAATGCATAGAGATGTCTACGGGACCCAAATCGCGCGACATCCGGCAGGAAATCGCTCCTGTACCTTTTTATGCGACAAGCGATTTCTACCGCGCGGCAAATCGCAAAGGTGTGAACAGCTTCCAAAGACTTGAATGCAAATCTCTGTTTTGTGCAATATCGTGCTGATTTAGCCTAGGTGTGAGCCTAGCCTAAGGCCCGGTGCACACCTGGGCGACACCCCACCGCGCGGCAATCGAATGCGGATTGCCGTCGCTATTCTGCCCATGCTTCTAAACATGATCGCGGCTAAAACTTGTACCTTTTTTCTGCGATACATGACCTGCGTGTTCAGAAGCACGGGCGGAATCACAGGGCGGTAAACCACGCGATCCACCCGGCACGACTTGGGTGGATTTAGAAAATAATGGCACCCACAGCGCGATCGGTGCACACCTGGGCGACTCCTGAGCGCGGAATCGTGCATGATTGCCGCGTGGTTCGGTGTCACCTAGGTGTGCACCGGCCCTCAATGTAGGTCAACTCAAATCAGGATAATTTCTATCTCATCACAAGGTATTAGACTACTAAAACAATTGTTTTTATCACATGCTTTCATTTCTTATGTGCTGGTGAACATGGCAACCACAGCAGGTACCTCTATGTTCCTGCACGCCAGGTCATCTCTCTTTAGTGGCATGAGTGCCTAGCATTTTGAGCATCAAATACTTATTTTATCCAGTTCCCTTAGCCTCAATATTTTCCATTCTTTGGAATATCGCCATGAACTTTTAGATGCAAACAAGATTTTGGATGGTTGATGCCTGGCTCCCTGAGTTTGGCCCATCTAAAGTGAAAGTGGATACAGATCAAAATCATTTTCATCACTCAACCCAATATTTTTTTTTTTTCAGGAAATATGTACTGAGCAGCAAAGGTCACCAGACTGGTTCCTCAAAGACCACTAGAAAACTCCTGGAGATCCTGGGTGTCTCCTGGTTCCCTTGCATCACTCACTGGTCCTCTGCATGGCTTAATGTTTCTACCCTCTAAAACTCACATCACTACAGGAGAGAGAGTGGGAATGTGAGGTCAGACGGAAGAGCCAGTAAAATCTGCAGGGGACCATGGGGATCCTAGTGGAGTTATAATGATCAGAGTAGTTTTTCAGCAGCATGTAATTAAGCTTAAATTAAGCCTCTACTGACCTTTTTAGCTGGATGTACTGTGGAGAAATTCAGCCTCAAAGTTCACAAGAGAAGTAGTGAAGTTGTATATGACTGTTCTCAGCAGCTCAACTCTCCTTCCTTTCCCAATGACAAAACTCCTTCTCTGGGTTTACACGGGTGATTGGTAGTCTGGAAGGCTGCTAAATCACTGGTGGCATGGAGGAGCAGAGTGATCTGAGCTGCTGAGCATGTGCTGGAAGGCGGGTGCAGGGGCAGCTGGGATGCTCAGTCACTACAGGTAGGGCGAAGCAGGCGACGGCTTGAGTTGCTGAGACACTGCTTGGGGTTGCAAGGTAACATAAACTTGATTAGTCAAGGATTTCAGTGCTTCTCCAGGAAACTTTGAAGATGAATTGCTCTACAGTGCCTGCAGCTTCAGAGGATACAAAACTTTCAAAGCTCATTTACTGCTTGTTATGCATATATTAATAAATGGAAGTCCAAAGCCTTTACATTGAGAACCGCTGGTGAAACAGGAAAGGACAAATAAAGCTGAACTGTTTTATTTTTTTTTGCAGCAGATAATGATAGACAAGTTGTATGAATATATGTAATGTGTGAACTGTGATGGGTTTGTATCTTTTTCTAGCTAAGCTTCAAACTGTGACTTTTGCTCCTATAACCCCTTTAATGAGCTATATCTCTGCTTTCGTGTGCAGAATCACTTGTATGAGAGTTACAGTTTACTAGTTGTTGCAACACCATTTTAGACCTTTGATTTCTGTACGCTGTCATGATGTATCGCTGGAAAATGTCTGGCTTGCCAGCATTGTTTTTTTCACCGGATCACACTGAAGAAAGCATGACCAATTTTCATGCCGTCTAATTATATACATTACAGTGCATTAGCTGGATGAGACTCACTCTGCGGACTCTGCATCTAACTGAAGTGAAAGCTTTGTGTGCCAAGAAAAAGGGAAACTATAGTGGGTTTTGGTCAGTTTTATTTTTTTAATATTTGAAACTTTTTTAATTTTATAAAGTGTCTACGCAGCGTTTAGAATTTCCTAAGCTTCTCAATAGTGGTGCACCGAAATGAAAATGTGATAACCGAAACAAAACTGAAATTTAAAAAAATGTAAGGCCGAAATAGAAAATAGTTTTTATTTTAACTTTTTCAAATTTTTCAAATATTTAATATTTATTTTTTATAAACGTTTTAATTTTTTAATTTTTATTTTTTATTAAATATTTTTATTTTACTTTTAGGGGCTTCGGGGAAATATTAGAGGTTTAAACAGACCCCTGATATTTCCCTTTTTAAAATAGAAAAAAAGATTGAGGACACAGAGTCTTCAATCTCTTTTTCTGTATCCCCTGTTATAAATGAACAGGAATTCTCTATACTGAGTGTTCCTGTTCATTCATAACATGAGGACAGAGTATGTTTACTATACAATCATGAATGAGCAGGAGGTGATGTAGATCATTTCCCATTCATTCATAATTGAGGATATCGTAACCATACTATGTCCTCAATTATGTACAAACAGTCAGCGATCACTGATAACAGACTGCTTATACCCGCTCTCCATCCTGACATGGTCACAGCAGGCTGAGCGAGTGGAGCTCAGCCTCATGTGACGGCGCTGGCTGTCTCTGCCCACATACCGCTCTGCAGATCTGTGACAGGAGGCTGAGCGGTGCGGGGAGGAGAGACGCCGGCCGCCCGGAGCGCTCTCCTCCCGCAGCACTCGGCCGCCTGTGACAGTTTCTCTCCTCCCCACTGGGACACTGAGTAGCGCCCAGCGGGGAGGAGAGAAAGGACGGATGCAGCGCTGTATTGGCCAGAAAATGGCACTTTCGGTGCATCCCTACTTCTCAACTCGTGTCTAGTGTCCAAAATGCCGTGTGAATGGCATCCGCCCAGCGTATGGCTAGGCGGAAGCTTTATATATCCTTAATGTTTTCATAATCTAATTTTATAATTGTGTAAATTATCATTTCAACTCCGAAACAATAATTTTTTTATTGAAAGGGTGCACCCCCTTAAGATTTCAAGTCCTCCCCCATCAAGGTATAGATAAATGCTTGCAGGAGCGGCTTTTGGCTTTGGCAGAGATGACATTGGGAATATTGTGAGATCACTTTGCCATTTTGAGGCTGTCAGATGTTTTCTCCACGACTCGGACAAGGTTGCATGAGCTTCCTGAGATGTTTATTTTCTGACAGCCACGGAAATGTAAAAAGGAACGAATTATATAAAGGAGGAAGCATATTGATGTTCAGCAATTAAAAAAAAATACACATCAAAAATAGAAACCACGCATTTTTCAAAGCCATGTGTTCAGGTCTGTCGTGACTGCACAATACCTGCCATTATCATGCCACTTTCATCAACAAAGGGAGAGGATCTGTGAAAGGTTAGCACGTCGACAGAGGACGGGGGCGGCCAAACCACCTAGCGTGTTCAACTGCACTTACCACGACTTTCTCATTTTACCTTAAGTTGTCAAAACCATAATAGTTGCTACAGTAATCATAATGATATGCTGATTTACTGCATGCACAACAAAAGATGCTCAAATAAAAGTGCATGTGTCACCTAAACAACGTGGAATTCTGTTAGAACTTGAAATTGCCCCTACCTCCCCAAGTTGATGAAGGCCATTTCGCCAAGGGGGTCATCTAACAGAGTAAAACTTACCTTAATATACAATACATTGTCCATTAAATATATTTTTAAAAGGAAATATATTGTTTATATCGCCTCCATCTTCCTCTGAACAGCAGCATTGGGAGGAGGTGCGGCAACACTAGGAACCAATTAAAAGAGCTACACTAAATTGCCAAAAGTATTGGGACGCCGGCCTTTACACGCACATGACCTTTAATGGCATCCCAGTCTTGGTCCGTAGGGTTCAATATTGAGTTGGCCTGACCTTTGCCGCTATAACAGCTCCAACTCTTCTGGGAAGGCATCCACAAGGTTTAGGAGTGTGTCTATGGGAATGTTTGACCATTCTTCCAGAAGCGCATTTGTGAGGTCAGGTACTGATGTTGGACGAGAAGGCCGGGCTCGCAGTCTCCGCTCTAATTCATCCCAAAGGTGTTCTATCGGGTTGAGGTCAGGACTCTGTGCAGGCCAGTCAAGTTCCTCCACCCCAAACTTGCTCATCCATGTCTTTATGGACCTTGCTTTGTGCACTGGTGCGCAGTCATGTTGGAACAGGAAGGGGCCATCCCCAAACTGTTCCCACAAAGTTGGGAGCATGAAATTGTCCAAAATGTCTTGGTATGCTGATGTCTTAAAAGTTCCCTTCACTGGAACTAAGGGGCCAAGCCCAACCCCTGAAAAACAACCCCACATCATAATCCCCCCTCCACCAAATTTTACACTTGGCACAATGCAGTCAGGCAAGTACCGTTCTCCT